CCCGCCGATCTCGGCCGGTGATCGGCGAGATCGGCTTTCGTATCGCGAGAAAATGAAAACATTTCGATTTCGTGAGAGGGATTTTCAAAATTTCGAAATTGCTTTTCTTTTTTTCTCTTCGCGGGAGAAAAGGGAGGCAGAAAGGAGAAACTCGCGTTCCGCGAAATAACCGGTAATAAATCGTTCGCCACCTTTATTCGTGTGCCTCGCGTTGTACAACGCAAGTACAACGTTCCCGTTTTTCCCAATTATCAAGATAAACCTGAATAGAATAACAAAAAAGACACGTTGGGCAAAAGAGAATACGCATTAAGTATGTACAATGTGCGCTGTAACTTACAAAGTAGTTGATAAATTGCCATCTGTCGCGTTTACGTTTTGAAAAACTGGCTGGGATGGATTTACAATCTCGTACGATTGCGAGAGAGAGAGAGAGATAGAGAGAGAGAGAGAGAGAAAATAGTTATTGCAGGCATGACTTACTACTAGTTCTTGGGGAAAAAGTGGGAAAATTATTACGCCTCGATAACGAGAAGTAACGCGTCATGCATTATCCCATTACTTTCATTGACGTTGCAATTTCGCGCGACCAATAACAGCGAATAAAAGCTATAATATCGATGATTTTGCTTCGATCTTACGAATGATAATAATTTTTCAAAAATTATTTTCGTTAAAATGTCGCGTGGTGTTGAGAGAGAGAGAGACAGACAGAAAGAGAGAGAGAGAGAGAGACAGAGAGAAAGCAAACAATTCGTACAATTGGTGAAAAATGTTTAAATTATTAATGAAAACGTGAAGAAGAGGAAAAGTATATATATATTTTTTTTTTCTTTCAATTTATTCGCACAATTTATATGAATACATTTCTACGTTGTTACATAAGTTTTTCAGCCTTGAACATTTCATTCATTAGGCCAAATTGTTGAAAATTTTTTTTTTTTTTTTTTTTTCTCTTAGTTAAACTCTTAAACCACTACTCGTTACATGATAAATAAAAATAATTACCTATTGGATTATTAGCTTCCGCAAGCTTTTCTATTTTTATACTCTTATTATACATAATGCTCGCATACGAAGTCATGAAACATATTTATTTTATTTATTTACGCGCAACAATATCTGTACAACATCTTGTATATCTCATATTTATATATATATATATATTCAATAATATCGATTTCCTTAAATATCTAAGAACTTGTTGGCAGACTTTTGACCGAGAAGGAGGGGGGCGGCATGTAATCACGAGCCGTTACGATCGATCGATCGACGCACGATCGTGTAAAATAAAAACCCTAGTTTGGAACGGACGAGTACTCGCTAATTGAGATTCAACGATGCAACGATAATGGTGGCGAAATAACACGAATTCCAATCCGTGAAACGCGGATGGGAGGATGAGGGGGGAGGGAGGGGAAAATACGAGGGAACTATTCATTCCGACGGTTAAAATCACCGAATATTTCAGTTATTTCGCGGAGGCAGGTTTCTCCAGGTTTCCCACCCTGAGAGCCACGGAGAGGAGCGACGACGCTCGAAGAGGGTGGAACGAGCTTCCTCCTCCTCCTCCTCCTCCTCCTCCTCCGCGGGGTCTGAAAACCACCCACACCGTCCCCTCCCCTCCCCTCCCCTCTTCCCGACGCTAGGCTGCGGATTTATGCGCTCCGCCTTGCACCGCTGATACCCGAGAACTCGCGACTCGCTCCGTCCGTAATGAAAGAAATAAATTTACTCTCCTCTCCTATGGTATCCCGGGGATCGAGCACCCTGGTGGCGCGAATCAGAAACCTAGATATCCCGCCACCCTCCTCTACTACTACTCTCTCTCTCTCTCTCTCTCTCTCGCTCTCTTTCTCTCAACGTACGCGACCACGAATGAAAGCTCAAAAATTTGTAGAAATTTCGGATTTTTAAACCGAGGAAAGAGAAAAAGAGGGGGGAAAAAAAGAGATGGAAGACGGGGAAACGGTTTCGAAAAAAAAAATTCCGTTCTACGGTTTGCGAGGATGTAAAATTTTTCTATCCGTCGTACGAAGATAGTAGATACAGGGAAGAAAAGAAAGTTTTGTTGATGGGGGGGAGGGAAGAAAAAAAAGAAAAAGAAAAAAAAAAAGAAAATATTGACCTTGAGTTTCACACAAGTATTAAGGGAAAAATTGACAGTAAAAGTAAAAGTATCAATGAAAAGACAAATTTAATGATTTCACAAACATTATTTTTATTAAAGCGGTATGGAAACTCAACGATATTTACAAGAGATATTTACAGTGCAAATAATGCGTTCTTTTTATCGTACATTCACGTTCCTTCTTC